CCAGCCTCCAGACCTATGAGAAGTAAAGGTTTGCTGTTTATAAGCCACCTAGTCTAGGGTAGTTTATTATAGCAATGTGAACCAAGATATATATGATAGATGTTCTACATCATTTCTTATACTGTGTCTTGATCTGTATTAAAAATAAGTGAACAAATTAACCAAATTCATTAAACATTAAACATTAAACAAAAGTTATTTTCATTGGCACAGATAAGTTTTCTCAAAGTGACAATGAGAATAAATCTCACACTTATAACCAATGAGGAAAAAGGGAAATAAACAAGGATAGAAGAGGTGGTGGGGTGCATTTATTTTATATATATTAAAAAAAATCGAGGGCCTCCCCTGGTGGCGCAGTGGTTGAGTGCAGCGCTGTGAAGCTGCCCGCAGCCTCTGTAGAGCCGGTTCGATCCCCAGCCACCGGTGAGGGTCCCACATGGTGCACAGACCTCTCCTGCCGCGCCCGCTGCTCCCCTCAGCAGTGCACTTCGTCATTCTGCCTGTTCTGCTCTCCGCTCTGGCTCTGCTGAATTCTCTCACCCTCCCGCACTTCTGACTATACCCAGCGCTTGTGTAAATTTGAATCTTGTGATTATGTTATGAACTCAAAATTTTAATTTCATATCTAATAATGAAACAAAGAAGGAGGAAGGGTGGGAAGAAAAAAAGGGGAGGAGGGAAGAAAAGAAAGGGAGGACAGCTATAATATGCAGAAATTAAATATCTCTAATATGGAAAATGAAAGGAAAAAGAAAGATCTTCATGCATATTGTAATAGTATAAGCTTTAGACAAAGTACATTGGCTAATTTATTATAAATAAATTTAAAATCAGACTAACAACTAAAAACATTACCACTCAAAATGGAAGGGCAGGTCCACACAGTAAATATATCCATGTATATTTATGACTAGTTTTCCATAAAACTGTATGCCAATAATTGCAACTTACATAAACAATCAAAATAAATCCTCTTGAATTATAGGGATTAACCATCGTTTTTGATTATAGGGACAATTATTTCAGACACATTCTTAAATACAAACTCTTTCTTTAGAATGTACTTCTTTTATCTGTTCATATTATAAAACTCAAAAATTCAGTAGGCAACTCCACCTATAAATTCCTCTGGGAGTGAATATAACATGTCCAGCAACTCAGGAAACTCCAGACCTGTAGAAGCCTCTTCAATTTTTTTTCAGTCATGTGATACCCCTAACCTAATTGTTTTTCTTTCCTTCTCCTTGCAAAACAAAGAGATGGTTTTTATAAAAGATGTAACTACTAGCCAGCTTGGTCCCAGTGCCAGTAATACAGTGCGGGGGATAGAAAGGACTCTAAACCCCACTCCCAGTCCCTCCACCCCCACCCCCAAAGGAGCACAGCTGTATCTCCAGGCTCTGGGCACTTTGTCTGAAGGATCAGATAAGGTCAGGCAAGCCTGGGAGGCTTGGGAAGAGTCTTTTAACTACAGTTTGCTGCCCATCACCAACTCAAAAATAGGGGTAAGGTGTGGGGGGTCGGTTAGGGGCAGTTAGCTCCAATTAGTCCTGGAACGGGGAGAAGGGATTGGAGCAAGTGTACATAATGAAAAGGGATGTGTCCCCATCCGGAAAAGGGAAAAATATCTTAAGAAGCCTCCTGCTTTACTGCTCCGGGGCAGCCCTCCTGCTTTCAGAAACTGCCTTTCAGTGTGCTGTCCTGTCACTTCTAGTAAACTTTGTTGCTGGCTTCATCCTGGTGATTCTTGAAATTATTTTCTCAAGCGTCACCAAGGACCCACCAGTGTGGGGCTCCACAAACACATGATTGCCAGAAGAAGTTATAGAAATATGAAATATAAATGTGTTTCTATACCAAATATGTTCTCAGTGGTATGCTGGTAAATCTTCTAAAAGGATTGGGGAGCAGCTAATTTATTTGCTTGTTAATATTGTATATGTCCATTTCTGTATATGAGTATTCTGGTGGTGACTGACTTCAAACAACCAAGGCTGTAACCCTGATATATATAAACACACACACACATACATATACAAAATATATGTATGTATGTATGTATATGTACAGGGAAAGAGAATATGAGAAACTCCTTGTTTCCCATGCTCTTGGATTTTACATGTCACCATAAAGTAGAGCAAATTAGGCATGTTTCAGACAAGAGAAAATTTTAAATTGAGATTATTGATAGAATAAAACATAATTTTTATATTCTTCTTATAAGCTAAGATTTAATGTCTAAGGTAAGGGTTTTGTCTTCAAACATATTTTTTGGGTTTCTGCAAATTTCGTTGCAAATAACTTTGCATTATTTATTAAGTATTTGAATTTTTTTTTCAAACAGAGGGACAATAAGATTTTTTTTGGTAACATGAGTGGATTTATTTAAGATTTGAGTGCAAACTTAAAAATAAGTACAAACAAAGCTTTTCATCAATAAACACAAAAATCTAAGTAACAATTCTGCAATCGTGCATTTCAACAGAAAGTACAAATATTAATACATTCTAATTTGCAACTACATTTGAAAATCAAAATATTTCTATCAAATAGCACACAATCTTTAACCTGTTCTCATTGTGTTATTTTAGAAACATTTATCATGTTATCAGGAAGATACAGCATTATTAATCAACCTCTATGACCAAAGAAACAGTACTTTCAATGTCTGACTTTGAGTAATCTCATATCACTTCTGAAAAGCCATTATTGTACCTCCACTCTAGAAAAACAATTGCATAGTTATACAATTATACCTCCACTCTAGAAAAAAATGAATGCAAAGATCAAGGAAGCAAGATACTTTCATGTAATCAAAGAAAAAAAACACAAGTGTCTGACTTAGAAATGTACATAAATGTAGTAAATTTTAAAAGTACATCTTTGATGGCTGACATCATAATAACAGTGAACAATTTAAACAGGTATAAAAATGTAGTATCAAAATCTTTAGGTTGAAATATTTTAAAAGTTACTATGAATATGGAAAGATCTGTTTACATAAACATATATTTTTAGATGAAAAATCAGGGGTAGTGGCATCTCCCTGGTCCCTTAACAATATTTGGATTTTCACGAAGAAATAGAAGCACCCAACCTTAAGTGTTAATGACATGTTTCTAAAGGACCTATACAACAGTTTAGTTGGCAGTGTTCTAGCTTTTGGGAGATGGGGTGAGTGAGGTGGGGGTGCAAATATCTGAGTATGCATGCACTCACACATTTAAAATCATTCCAAAAGGAAAAGAAGTCACATATTGAAAAATGCTAAGGAAACCATCCTTAAGAGATCAAGAGTGGGCCAGACAGTAGAAGTAGTCATAGTAGTAGTCTATTTAATAATGAATTTGCACTCTTCAAAGGCAAGTTGGGAAGAATGAGGATACTTACACACACATCTCTTCAGGGAGAACTTGCTTGAATTTTACATTGCAGAGCAGTGAACAGGAAACATTACAAAGACCTTCATTCTTGCTTATAATACCAGATGAAATTTTTTCCTTTTTACCACCATATACATAACATTTAAATATTCTCTTTATAAATATTTGAGAGCAAAAAGAATGAATTTTATTGCAGTGGTGGCCCACATCTGTACAAAGCAATGTAAGCAACATATATATATATATATATATATATATATATATATGTAAGCGACATATTTATATATGTATATATAAAATGATTAAGGAAAAAGTGCAAAGAATAACAGTATTAAGAATTTTTGCTTTTTTTTTTTTTTTTTTTTACAGTAACTATGGTTGAAGTGTGAATATCTCTCAGGGATCTATAATCCCAGATTTTAATTAAAATTTTCAAAAGAAACCCACACTCTCTAGTTACTGCACAGGTTTCAGTTCCTTATTGAGTAACTTCCCTTCTCCCAAATCCAGCATTTCCAGTTTCTAAACTCTTTACACACAGAAACCAAAGTGGCAACAGAGAGTTTTTCCCTGTAGCTTCCCAAAATTCATTCAAGTTAATCACTCTAGATTCAGACAAGATCAATTGTGGAAGTCTTATCATAACCCGCTTTGCTGAAATTAAAGCAAAATGAGAAGCTTTCTGAAACACAAACTACTGACCAGGAATCAAATCAGCAACCACAAACAGGTCTTTCATTGCAAGTGTAATTTAAAATAAGTACATTTTTAAAATCAGTCCCTGTGGTCAATGATAAATACAGCATTTAAATCAGTCCCTCAGGCTCAAGTGCTATGCAAGGACTGTGATTCCACATGCCTCTGATTTCACCATCTTTCCTAACAGAAACGATGCTTCCTGTGCAAATCTGAATGACTTTCCATCACTTTACTCTTGGTGTCAAGTCTTTTACTTTGAACACACGTAGAAAGGCGATTTTCAGCATTTTGAAAAATGGACTTTCCTCTTAAGTCAGATAATTACTTACTGATTTTAGACCTGCAAGTTTGAAGTAGCTCAATTTCCCTTTAAATACATTACTAGGTATTTTTTGGTGTGTATACGTTGCTTCATTCTCACTCCAGGCACCATAATTATTCACAATAGTACAACGATTCTCCACCTAACTTAGGCAACATAAGGAATCTTAAAATGGATTCCAAGGTTATTATTTGATTCTATTATATTGATTGACTTTTCCCTTCAAGATAAAGGGTTGGAAGAGAAATTTTCAGGCCCTCTAGCACTTCTGCTTTGAGTAGTGTTAATACAGATTTTTTTGTCATGCTTAATATTTAAGCTTCTTCTCAACTAGGAAGACAGTAGACATTGGAAGCTATAAATTTCCTGAAACTACATTCTACGCCAACTTAAGTTTATTTTGTTCAACAGTACATATATTTTTAAGAAAACTAGTATATGCTAGACTAATTTTTAAAAACATAATTTTCACTCTAAAATTAATAAGACAGCTAAAGGGCAATACATTTTTCAATTTCAGTTTCACTAGATCTATGCAAGACTCAACAACTATTTTAATCACTTTTGGTTTTATTACTGTTTCTTTAGAAAGATTTGCCTTACATTCTAGCAGACAGTTCAACAAAGGCTTAAAATCCTAGAACTGAGAAACCACCCGGCCACCTCCTACACAGCTGTATATCAGCTACCTGCATTTCATTTGCCCCCATACATTCGCTCCATGTCTTTAAGGTAATGGTTCTTCAGTTCCTTCCTTTTCAGTTTGAAAGCATCAGTTACCAGACCGGTTTCCGGGGTCCATGGCTCTGGGCTGAGGCGAACCTTGATTGGGATTTCAAACCGCTCCAATTTCATGGTGTTTGCAGTTTCTCTAATTTCTTTCAGTATTTCTGCTTCCAGGGCAGGGTTGTTGCAAATATCGACCCAAGTTCCTTCCACCCCTTTCTGTTGTGCCAAAAGTGTCAGCCTTTTCTGATTAGGAACCACAAAACTGATCACATAGGACTGGTCACTTTTGGCAAAAGCACAGATGTTATCAATAAGAGGACAATTCTTCAGTGCAGCTTCCATTTTCCCAAGAGAGACATATTCTCCAGCTTGCAACTTCACCAGATCTTTCTTGCGATCTATAATCTGCAAACACCCATCGGGATGGAATTCTCCAATATCACCATTGCAAAACCACCTCTGTCCATTTTCATCCACAGAATAATCCTCTGCTGTTTTCTCTTCATTTTTAAAATAGCCCATGGAGATATTTTGTCCACCGATTACAATTTCACCTCTTGGGTTTGGCTTGTCATGAATTGTATAACCGCCTTCTTGCCAATCTTTCAGCTTAATTTCACAGCAGATAAGAGGGGCTCCAACTCTGCCAGTATTATAGTCAGTAACTTCAGTAACTGTCCCTGCACCACAGGATTCTGTCAATCCGTAACCCTGACCAATTGGGCAGCAGAAGTAGACATTCATGAACCGGTGTGTCTGAGGAGAAAGCGGTGCGCCACCAGACAGCATCATACGGACATTCCCTCCAAGCAGGGCCTTCACTTTTTTAAACAGTATCAGATTGCATAATGGTACATCATATCCCTTCTTGATCTGTTCCAATTTGTAGTCATACCCTATCTTGAACAGAGTTTTCTGGATATAATTCATCTCTTGGACTTTGCTATAACATTCTTGTAAATTCTATCCATAATTTCTGGAACAGTAGCCATGAGGGTGGGCTTCAGGACAGTACAGTCTCCTTTGCTTCCTTTTTTAATTTTGCTGGACTGGGGCCTCCCCGGTGGCGCAGCGGTTGAGCACTGGGTTGCGAACCTGCCCGCAGCCTCTGCAGCACTGGTTCGATCCCCGGCTGCTCCCCAGCCACCGGAGGAGGGTCCCACATGGCGCGCAGACCTCTCCTGCCGCCCGCTGCTCCCCTCAGCAGTGTACCTCGGTCCTTCTGCCTGCTCTGCTCCCCGCTCTGGCTCTGGTGAATTCTCTCACCCTCCCGGCTTCTGACTGTACCCAGTGCATGTATAAACAAAACAAACAAATAAATAAATAAAAAACATGCCTCTATTTAAAAAAAAAAAAAAATTTTGCTGGACTGATCAGAGAGTGTAAGTGGAGAAGAATATCCAATCCTACAGCCATAGGTAAAGCAAGATATCTCTGCTGTCAATTCTAGTACATGAGCCAAAGGCAAGTAGCCAATATATGTGTCCTTTGGTCCCAGTCCAGGAATTCTCTCACACTGGCCTGTCATTCCAGCTATCAAATTGCTATGATGCATCATCACGCCCTTTGGTCGTCCAGTAGATCCACTGGTGTACATGACGATAGCCATGTCCCAAGGGGATGGTCTATTTGGAGGAATGCTCGAATTTTCTGGCTTGGATCCCAAGTCTTCTACTGATTGCATGCTGTGAATCTCACATCCTTCAGGGTATTCTGCTTTATTGATAGTCTTATTGTCCACATAAATGATATGCTTAACACAATTAATATCTGACAATGCAGTGTTAAGTTTACTTTCCAGAAGTTCAACACTAGTGATCAGATATGTAGCCTCAGATTCATTTAATCCATGAACGACAGCTTCTTTGCCAAGTGTGGCATACAAAGTCACAAGAGGAAAGTTGTATTTAAAGCAGGTCTGTGCTGCAATCATCCATTCTGCCCTGGTCTCACAGAAAATGGCAATGGTGTTCTTTGGTTTTAGTCCCAAGGCAGTGAGTCCACTGCCAAAGTTACTCACTCTGTGGTTCACTTTAAGATAGTTCATCCATTTATAATTCCCAAGAATTAACTTCTTAAAAACCTTTCCATTTGGCTGCATTTCATTTTCTTCACTTAGTATTTCCCTGGTCCCCAGGCTGTCCTTCTTCCCAAACTTCACACGGCGTGATCAAATAATTTATCCAGAGTGTCTGCTCCAGGGATGTCTATGACAGCTAGTGAGTCAAAGTGTGTGACAGAGCAATATGGACTTCCAGGTTGGTCTGATGTGGGCTTAGCTTTTATTGTCTTTGCCATAGCGTTTTTCTTAGATTTCCTTTTTTTCTCCTAAGAACACGTATATCTTCTGGGATTTCAATCCGAGGCGCTGCCAACGGCGTCCAGGCGGCCGGCTTGCCGGCGCCTGGCCCTCAGGAAGCTGCCGAGGAGGGCCTCGTGCCCGCGAGCGCTGGGATGACCAATAAGATTTTTAAATGCACCAAATTAGAGGCAGATGATCCAAGCTCATGGCTGAACAGGCATATTGATGTTATTTCATTTAGCAGGAAACAACAGATGTTTTCCCAAGGGATATATATGGATCTTGCAGAAGTTGTTAGTGAAAGAATTGGGAAACATAGACTATATGGACAATATATTCTTGTTTATTCGTTAGGTCTTTGAATCCTTATTTCTCATATAAAACAATAATTGTGCTTGATTGTTTTGTAAAAGTCATAAGATGCATCTGTGTAAAGAACTGATAGCAATGAGAAATTCAAAAGGTAGCAGTTGTCTGCAAGAACAGAACATTGTGCTTTTCTGTGAAATTTTTGCCAAGAAGTCATGTGATCAAATGATTATTTTATGTTATTCCAGCAGTAGTAAGTTGAATATTTTATTCATTCATTAACCCATTCTTGTACTCACCAAAATCCATTTGACTTTTGAATAAATGTACAGCAAATTTCAAATTGTTTTTTTCTTTTTTGAATTATTTATTTTTGTATTGAAGTACCATTGGTTTAAATTATCTATATTTTAGAAGTGTAGGATCCTCCTCTTCTGGTGATGTTACAATAGCAGTTACATCAGCAAAGCACCATAGCCCACCACCACATTCTATTGTGCTTCCTTCCCTCTTTGTTCTTACCCCTCCCCTCCCCTACCAGCTCTTCTGGATGCTTCAATTCTATAGTCAGCTTTCAAGGGTTAGATTCTAAGCTTGTCTTTATCTCACCCTAAGTTTGGCTTCTCTAAATTCCACATATTAGTGACACCACCTAGTATTTATCTTTCTCCTTCTGACTTATTTCATTTAGCACTGTCCCTTATAGCTCTATCAATATTGCCACAAATAGCATCTTTTTTGATCATTAAGTAGTATTCCATTGTGTACTATACCACACCTTCTTGATTCACTTATCTGTTTTGGGGTAATTAGGTTGTTTCCACAACTGGTTTTTGTAATAGTGCTAAAATGAACATGGAGGGCAAAAAATTCTCAGTTTCTTTTTAGTATTTAAGCATTAAAATACTTATTCATACTCAGTCATCTGGAGCATTTTCTCCATTTTAAGTGGCCTCTTCATGTGTGGTAGTGTAAAGATTCATAATTAGGAATCTTTAAAGTCTTATTCTATGATCATGATAGTGATTATAAAATTTATTTGCAATGTGGAGTTTCACAATTGGGATGATCGAGACACAGATCTTAACACTATTCACAAAAATGAACCAAAATAAATTCTATCAAACATTTAGGGAAAAAATCACGCAAATTATCTACTATTTCTTTCAGAGAATACAAGCAGAGAAATGGCTTCCAAATTAATTTTATGAGACTATCATTACTTTAATACCAAAAAAACAGGTAAAGAAGTTGAAAGAAAACTGTAGACTAATGTCTCTCATGAACATAGATGCAAAAATCCTCCACAAAATATTAGCAATGTGAATCAAATCATGTGTAAAAAGAAGTATATGCCACAATTAAGTAAAACTTATCACAGGTAGGGCCTCCCCGGTGGAGCAGCAGTTGAGCACTGGGTTGCGAAGCTGCCCGCAGCCTCTGCAGCGCTGGTTCAATCCCTGGCCGCTGGCGAGGGTCCTACATGGCACGCAGACCTCTCCTGCCACCCGCTGCTCCCCTCAACATGTATTTCGCCAGTCTCCCTGTTCTGTTCCCTGCTCTGGCTCTGGTGAATCCTCTCACCCTCCCTCACTTCTGACTGTACCCAGTGCTTGTATAAATAAATAAATCTTAAAAAAAAAAAAACAACTTATCACAGGTATACAAGTCTGATTCAGCATTTGGAAATTAAAGGAATCCATTACATTAACAAGCTAAAAAGGAAAAATCATACAATCATACAATCATACCAATAGATACAGAACAAGAATTTCACAAAATCCAATATTCATTCATGATCTCAGTACACTAGGAATAGAGGGGAACTTTCTCAAGATGATAAAGAAAAATCTATAAAAACCCTATGTCTAGCATTATACTTAATGATAAGAAAAACAAACACTTTCCTAATAAGATTAGGTGCAAGACATTCTTTTTCAAAACCATACTGAACATTCTAGTTATTGAAATAAAACAAGAAAGGGAAATAAAAAAAATATATAGGCTGGAAAGAAAGAAATAAAATGGTCTCTGTTTGAAGATAACCTGGTAGTCAATGAAGAAAATCTAAAAGAATCAACTAAAAATTCCTAGAACTGACAAACAATTAAGCATAAATCTGCAGGATAAAATGTTTATTTATAACAGTCAATTTCTTTTCTATATACTACAATGAACAATTGGAATTTGAAATTAAAATCACAATGTCATTTTGTAATGCCACTTATGTAGCATCACCTAAAATTATATAGCTACATAAAAATCTAACAAAATATATAAAAGATCTATGTGTGTGTATATATATATATATAATATGCAAGTCATTTGTATATCTTACTATGACCAATTTTAATAGCATATGTATTTCACAATACAAAATGATTTTTAAATTACATGTAAGTTGTTTTATCAAAAAATACATAGCAATGATCTCAAACATCTTATTTTATTGATTGATTCCTCATCTCACCCCCTTCCAGCATTGTTAGTTTAAAAGATATCCAGTAAAATTTCCTTCCTTCCTTCACTTATCTGTCATCCCCTCTTTTTATCTTTCCCATTTCTACCTTCTTTCATGGAACATATACATGTTGCCAACATGTGGGCAAAAGTGTCAAAGAAAACTCCCTTCCTTTCTCAAGTACAGTCCAGCTAAGATTTTTTTTTTGGTAGGATTTTTTTTTTTAAGATTTATTTATTTATGTATACAAGCGCTGGGTACAGTCAGAAGTGCGGGAGGGTGAGAGAATTCACCAGAGTCAGAGTGGGGAGCAGAGCAGGCAGAAGGACCGAAGTACACTGCTGAGGGGAGCAGCGGGCAGCAGGAGAGGTCTGCGCACCATGTGGGACCCTCCTCCGGTGGCTGGGGAGCAGCTGGGGATAGAACCGGCGCTGCAGAGGCTGCGGGCAGCTTCGCAACCCAGCACTCAACCGCTGCGCCACCAGGGAGGCCCCCAGCTAAGATTTTTAATAGCTGAAACACAAAAAACTTTTATCATGCTAGCCATTAAGATGAAGTGTTTTCAAAATATTAGTTAAAATATGACTCCAAGAATAATTCTGAAACTTAAAGCTATGTTAACAAAGTCTGGGCAATGATTTCATATGACCTCAAAAGTATATTCTCTTTTATGAAATTGTTCAGGTTAAACCCAGGGCTATGGTCAAGGACGTACACTTAGTATAGGTTATGCTAAGAAAGCACTTAGCGTAGATTATGCTAAGAGAGCATGATTGAGAATGAGTAAGATCATAAGGATTGTTCAGAAATGAGGCAGTGTATCTTTTCCCACTCATAAATCTTGCTCAGAACTAATCAAAATGCCCTTCTAAAGGCAAGTGATCTGGGAAATGCTAACTTCTTTGTGTCCAAGAGAAAGAACAAATGGTTTGATCATATAGCATTGTGCTGCCACAACTGAAAGTGCATATTCAAATGATTGATAGAATATGTAAGTCAACATTGTAGGCCTCACAAATAAAACATCTGAGTTTTCTCATTTTAAAGAGAAGTTCAGACCTTTGTAATAGGATTTCAAATATGCAAAGTCAGAAAACATATATATATACACATATATATGTATACATCATATATATGTATACATATGTATACATATATGCATATATACACATATACATACATGTATATATACATATATACGTATACATATATGTATGTATACGTGTATATATATACATATATATGTATACTATATATGTATACATATATATACACATCAATGGTGATGAGGTACCATATTTTATATATATATATAAATTCCAGGCCTCTCTCTCTCTCTATATATATATATATTCTATATATTCTATATATTCTGTATATTCTATATATATTCTATATTCTATATATTCTATATATTCACTATATTCTCTCTCTCTCTCTCTATATATATATAGATAGAGAGAGAGAGAGAGAGAGGCCTGGAATTTATATATATATAAAATATGGAACCTCATCACCATTGATAAATAACCATAGGCCACTGACACACACAGGTAAACACAAGAAAATCATAATGCTTCATTGATTTTACCCTTAGGCTAATAATACATAAAAATTCCAACTCTTAAAAGGACTTCCTCCTGTTAGGGAATATCTCAAAAAGCTTTGTAAAATAGAAGAATCTTTGAATAAAATTGCACAAAGGTCACTATCTTGCTCAAAAACAATGCACTGAGTGTTTTCAGTAGTAAAATATAGAGACCTATACTTTAAAATAACCCTTTATTCTAGCTACATTGTGTGTATGTGTGTATTTTAATGAATTATAGAAAACTTGATCTGCTTTAGTTTGCTAAGAAATGAAAAATTGTAAGCTCAGTTACTCAAACAAATTAGTAACAACAAAGCAACAAAAGTAAGTAGAAATGCATGTGAAAATAATAATTTTATAGCAGGGAGTTAGCAAGTAAAAAATTAATTCTCTTATGAAAAGCCAGTTTCTCTCTGTCCTCTGCAAGGGATCTCTAGGTTAGAAATTTGAAGCACTAATTGCCTGAGCTAGAAACTCCTGGGATTTGTAAGTCTCAGAAGGTCAAAATAACAGGGCAGGTAAAGGAAAGCTTGTTAGCAGGAACTAGCAATGGGGTTCTAGTACTGTAGATATTTTATATTAAATAAAAGAATGGAAAGTCAAAATAACCCAAGGGAATGCTGAATTAAAAGGTGGAGGCAGCAGGAGCTTAGCAA